GGCTAAGCATATTGCTGATGAGAACAAATGAGTTTCTGAAATATCGAAATTTCCGAAAAACCCCAATCTTCGACCTGTGGTTCATCGAAAATTTCATGACTCCAAAACATCGTCTGTTCTTATCAGCAACATACTTAGCATTGTTGGGTTAGATAATCAATACAACTTTGGAGTGTTTTCATCAACTTTGAAGAAAGAAAAATGACTTCAAAAAATAGAAGGTCGTCCCCTGGGGATCATCAGGGGATTATACAAAAAGCTGGAAAACGCGGCTTGTACAGCTTTTCGCTTCTGTTCAATATGCTCATAGTGAAGGATGGTGGGAATACTTACTGATAGGTAGACAGCGTGACCCTGGAGCTTTGGGACATGAAGCTTTCATTTAAGCTGCGATCCCCTCCCCGGCAGGGATGTTAAAGGCAGCTGCTCGGCAGATTTTGCATTTCCATCTTTTTGCATGTTTTGGGCCTTCTCGACCCGTAGATCCCAAATCTGAGCTTTAAAAGGGGTGATTAGGCCGTTTTCGGGGCGTTTTTTTTTCAATTTCCAAAAGGCAGCTCGGACGAGAATTAAAGGAAAGTCGGGAGGCCCTAGCACGGAGACCCTGCTGCCTGTAATTCAGGCTATGTATAGCATGCACAATGCGGGAGAGCGGTTGGGGGGTCCCGCGCCGTCTAGCGGAGAATACTCGTCCGAACAAGGTGTTAGGGGTGCGAAAGGAGGAAGGGGAGTGGAGCTTGGCTCGCCCTCCTGGTTTGCAGAATTCACATTTTCGGACCGGAGTTGCTGTTTTGGTTCACTTGGAGGGCCTTCTATCCATCTGTGTCAAAGTCTGAGGTAGGACAATCTGCCGAGCCGCTGTCTTTAATGCATGCGGCCCTTAAAGAGTATCGCACGGTGATTCCAAGGCCCGTATGCTCGTACATCCCCGCTGGGGAGGGGAGGGGATCTGAGAGGGGATGCGTCATATCTCGCTACTCTACGTATCTTCTTTCTTTTCTATCTTGCTTGTGAAGGTTCTCATACCCTTATACCTGCGTATAATGGATGCCAGGTTACTGGCGTAATTGTTTAGTTTTTCACTATTTTGTGTGATCCCATGGGGATCCCCAGGAGAACACCTCTCAATTTCTGTGCCATTTATCTCCCTAAAAACTCAATGAAGCGCTGTAAAATTGTACTGTGAATGTACTACGGCGCTGCTAAAGATGATTAGAGCAGAAATTAGTGAAATCTCAGGATATCAATATCTTCGGTAATTCCTAGCTCGCGAGCCAGGGATCATCGAAAAATTCACAATCTTCAGATCCCATTTCTTCTGTCGAAAATATGCTCAGCAGTGCCATAGTATATCCTCAGTGCAATTCTACAGCTTTTTCACTGACTTCTTAGGAATATAAATCACTTTGAAAATGAGAGGGGATCCCCAGGGGATCTCCAGGGGATCACACAAAATGGCAAGAAACCAATTTTGTATGGAAGCAACCTGGCATCCATTATGCGCAGGTATAAGTGTATGAAAAACTTTATAAGCAAGATCGAGAAAGAAGAAGAAAGATACGTAGAGTAGCGAGATATGACGCATCCCCTCTCAGATCCCCTTCCCTCCCCAGCGGGGATGTACGTGCATACGGGCCCAAATCTGCCTTACATTATCTGCCAAGCTCTTCTGGACGACGAGTTATGGGTTTTTTGGGTCAGAAAATTGAACGCAAAACTGGAGCGAAATCGCCCAGGATTGCTCTAATGGTCCTGTGTTGAGTATCAGAGCAGTTAATGCAATGGATACATTTTGTCTAATATGCTAACACTTAACATTGCTTTATCTGAGCGCTGGAAAGATTGTAACAATTGTTTCTACCTAGATTCTGCACTCATTTTTCGTTTCAAGCAACGGTCATAACTCGGCGTCCAGAGGCGCTTGGCAGATAATGAAGGCAGATTTGAAGCCACCGTGCAATGCTCTTCAAAGTAGTGTGGGTTTTATTTAGAAACGCCACTTCGACTAGACACGCTTTCCTTGTAAGTTTGTTTTCCAATTTTGAGAAGAGATTGAAAAGTTGTCGGAGCTGAAGGTGCGTATGTTAGCCCATTACCGCCTGACTCATTATAAAATATTACATATTCAATTTTACGAAAACTGCGGGAATATTCTTTATAGAAACTTCTTCTTAAGCATGACTGCATTTTGGCAGTTTGGCTTCGGGGCTTGGATTTTTATCACCAAGGGCCGCATGCATTAACATCCCCGCTGGGGAGGGGACAGGGCCCGGCGCGAGGTGGGCAAACGACTTTTTCCAAAACGAATTCTCCTTTGGTCCCAATATTTTTTACGAATACGCCCTTGAGCCCAAAAACGATGTTTTGTGCTTGTGCAACGAGAGCACCGGCCACACTTCGCCCAAAAGCGCTCAAAAGCGCTCGAAATGTTCGAACTCCCCTAATTACTCATCACTTGTACCAAGATAGAAAACAGGAAGAAGAATAAGCAAGAAGAATGATGAAGGATAAAGAAATATCAAAGTGACGCAGTCATAGGACTGAGAGACGCTGTTCCCGCGCGTATCGATTGATTGGGGCGCGCTTTCCATCTTAGGAAGTTAGGCTGCTGATGCGATTTTGGGCTCTAACAAAGACAAAAGGAGGAGTTTTGGAACCAAAATCTCACCATGTAGTAAACTTTAGGTGTACAACAGATTTCTATAAGAATTTTGAAAAACTTGTGTGAGCTGAAAGTTTTGCCCACCTCAGGTGGGCATTTCACATCTTCATTTACCAGTTTTGCATAATTTTTGAAAAAAATGCTTATTAAACCTCGCATTCACATAAGTTTTTCATAGTATTTCATACATTGTTTCTACTAGCCTCATTTCGTTCGCTTACCTAAGGGTGCTATATCGTTACGCCTGCATTGAGAACTAAACATGTAATCATGCTGTTCAACGGCATCGCTTATGCGAGTCGCGCACGCGGCAATTAGCGGCGGGGCGGCGTAGCGCGCGCGAACTCTGCTTTCGTTGAGGCCTATGAAAACTGCTTCCCAATGAATTAGATGTATAAGGTAATAAGCATGATTCAACCTTCTTTTGCTTGCACTTGAAATCTTCCTCCTGGACTCCGCCCCGGGCCCCGCAAAAACGATTTCCTCCTTGCTTTTTCCCCCAAAACGATTTCCGGCCTGTCAAATGTCCACCTCGTGCCGGGCCCTGGGAGGGGATCGCAGCTTCAAAGAAAGCTTCATATCCTGAAACTTCAGATATCTGGATTTCACGCTGTCTACCTATCAGTAAGTATTCCCATCCTCCACTATGAACATATTGAACAGAAGCGAGAAGCTATAAAAGCCGCATTTTCCAGCTTTTTGTATGATCTCCTGATGAGCCCCCGAGGGCAAAGTCTTTTTTAAAGCCATTTTTCTTTTTTCGAAGTTAACGAAAACCTTCCAGTTGTACTGATTATCTAACTCAACAGTGCTAAGCATGTTGCTGATAAGAACAAATGAGTTTTCGAGTATCGATTTTTTTTTTCGAGAAACCCTAGCTTTCGACCTGTGGTTCATTGAAAATTTCATGGCTCCAATACATCCTTTGTTTTTATCAGCAAAATGCTTAGCACTGTTGGGTAGATGAACGGTACAACTCTGTAATGTTTTCGCTACCTTTGAAGAAAGAAGAATGACTCTAAGGAAAAGACGGTCGGCAGCTAGTGATAATCAGGGGATCAGAAAGCTGGAAAATGCGGCTTATATACAGCTTCTTGCTCCCGTTCAAAGGTTCATAGTGAAGGATGGTAGGAGCATTAGGTAGGCAGCATGAAGTCTCGATTTCTGGAGCTTCAGCATATGAAGCTCTTTTTAAATTGCGACCTCCTCCCCGGCGGGGATGTTAATGTATGCGGTCCTAACTGGGCGGAATTTTCAGGGAGACAGCCCTTCTGCACCGCTGGCTTTAGCGAGCGAATCACTGCCGCGCCTCTGATTGGTCGGCGCTGCTGGGATTGGGTAAGCGAGAGAGCTAAACCTTCGTCGGAGACACGGGCACGAGTCATGCAAAAGCACTATCCCAAAAAGAACGATTGAAGAAGACCTCAACTTTTACAGGGAACTCTAAAATGTACTCATTGGGTCAGATAGATTTTTCAGGTTACACCCCAGTTTTTCACGGTGATTTGTTGAAATCGGCAGGTGCAGGATATCACGAAATTGGAGCAAAAAAATTCAATTTTCTCATATCCTTTCCTCGTAGTTCAAACATTGCCCTCGTTATTGTCCAAAAATCTGCACTCGCTTTATTTGGAATACTTAGGAATATTTGAATTTGAAGTCTCTGCTAGAGTGTACGAAAGACGAAGTAATTGCGCGGCCGCGAAGCAGAGTAATTAGTGCTAGGAAGGAGCGGTGCAGAAGGACATACACCCGAAATTTCATTGCAATGGCGATTAACCTCGACCAGGGGGGATATTTGCCTCGTCATCTTATGGATTGGCAATCATAGTAACCTCGACCAGGGGGAACATTTGCCTCGTTGTCCTATGGGTGCTGCTCAGAATCGCATATGTAATCATGTGACTTATGCGAAAATATCGTCTTAAGAATGTTGTCATGCCACGCGTGATGGTATGTTTGCAGTCTGATTTGTGGAATTTGTTCTTAGGCGAAATCTATGCGCGGAAAACGTTCGAGACGGTTCGGTACGCGAAAATATTTGTTTCGTGTATCCGCGCATCTCGGACATCTCCCGGTCTACCATCTGCTATCGTGTACGGAAGATACAAATAACCATGATATATTGCGTAGTCATCACAGGTTTGTACAGTCCGTCCGCGCGGGGTGGAGCCTATCGGCGACATATAGTCTCCTACCCAAGTACAGAAAGAAGCACGAATTGGCGATTTTTGAATGAGAAGTTAGCTCGCGCGCGTATCGCTGCGGTTGCACTGCATGGGGCTGTTGCCGTTATAAGGCTTGAACCAGTGTATTTTTGTCGATGAAGTTTTTTCAGTGCATCTTCTTCTAGTCTAAGCATGGAACAACAGGTTAGACCATCGGCTAGTCAACATTTGCTTCATACCATCAAGGTAACTCACGTCAAATGTCTCAGATTACCTCTATAGCAACATTTCTTCAGTGACCGCTAATAGAAGTATACGTTGCAGGCAAGACGGAAGTCAACTTTGAAACGCAGGTCGTCGACTACTTGCTTTGACGTAGTCATGAAGCGATCAGTGCCTGGTGATGTTTGCACGGCGACGAAACCATGTACGTGCAATAGTTTTGAGTTATTCAAAAACAGTGAGATATTCATAATGTCAAAATCTAATGAGAAAGTCATCATCTCTCTCTGTATACACCACTTACAAGGGAAGATACAGGGAAAGGCATCTAACTTAGGTCGGTTAAAGGCACCGTCCACTCAGATTTTCGACGTCCATGTTTTGATCGTTGAGGGCTTTCTCATGTCCCTGATCCCGAATATGAAGTCGAGAATCCGCGAAAACCCAACAATTCCCGTTCCGGAGAACCCGCAGGCCGGTTGACTGGGGCGCGCACGGATGGGCTGGCATGGATGGGGAGGGCGGTGCTGTCTGGGGGTCCTCGTTCACATCCAGGCTCAAGCGTGGGGTGTGGCATGCCACGCCTGAGGGGTCGTAGAGGGGTCAGGAAGAGGGGAGGGGGATTGTTACCGAGGTGATAGTGATGTTAGCGACATCAGCCGACAATGTTTGATAGGCCCATTGTGCAGGATACTAGCACGGGTGTTTTGGCTTACCGTCGTACACGTACGGTAAGCATAATAATAGAATCCTAAGAGCATAAGAGCATCATTTTCGTAATTAGCACGTCGAATAACCCCTATAGGCTAAGTTTCAGCGAATTTTGAGCTTCCCAAATATTGGGACACTCAAGTGAAGTGGTCATTTTCGTACATGTTAATACGTTTCGGTTTGCGAAATCGCGCGCGGCGAAAAAGAGTGCACTTTCAGCCGTTAGTCAACGAAAGGACCTTAATTCGTAGACTGTGGGCTACACCTGTAATCAACAAGCCAGATGAGCTCGATACCCAAAGTTCTGAGTGAATTCGAAGTGTTTGAATTTTGTCACTTGAGAGGGGCTTTTGTGCTTCCTTTAAAGAAAGGAACGAGAACTCAGTTTCTAATTGTATTCAAAAGCATCTGTGTATTACACGGTACACATCATCATTAAAACTACAGTCGAGTAGATTTCCTGCTTAATATAGTGTCCCTGCAGACGCGACAACGCTGAGGCGTCAATAAATGCCTTGCGAGTCCCCGAACTAGTCTTTTCCATTGTTTTCTTTGCTTATTTCATGCTTTTCAGTTGATTCGTTGCTGATAAAGAGAAAAAGGGTAAGTTAAAGAGTAGTTTCTATTTTCTGAGAAGTTCTGTCATCGCATATTCACAGATATATACGTGGAAGCATTTCGCGTCAGCTTCTTGTCTATTTTTTTCTGTCATTTCCTTTTCTTCTGTCACTTTTTCTTTCAAACCTCCTCCTTCTTGTGAGGCGTTTCTTTGAACGCTAGTAGGCTTGTCTTGCAGCAACTTCGGCTTTCATCCACAAGAAATAGCATTTTAATCAAGTACTTCATGTGATAAAAACAATAAGTCAATCGTAAAAACCCACTAGCGTTTAAAGAAGTACCTCACAAGAAGAAAGAGGCATGAAGTGACAAAAAAATAGACAAGAAGCTGACGCGAATTGCTTCCGCGTGGATATCTGTGAATATACGATGATAGAACTTCTCAGAAAACAGAAACTACTCTCTTACTTACCCTTTTCTTCTTTATCAGCGACGAATCACCTAAAAAGCATAGAATAAGCAAAGAAAACACTGAAAAACACTAGTTCGGGGACTCGCAAGGCATTTATTGACGCCCCAGCGTTGTCGCGTCTGCAAGGACACTATATTAAGCAGGAAATCTACTCGACTGTACGGTTTTTCTCCTAGAAATCGACGCGAAGAAAAGTTGCGACGTCGCACGCGTCGTTCGCATTGCCGCGCTTCGTTGCAACTGTTGTTCGATTTGCCCTCATATCTCCTGAACCAGTATCTGCGGCACAACTCTACAGAGTCATTTGAAAAGAAGAAGCTTAGGCCTTTGACTTGATAATCTTGGACTAAGAGGAAACCTTCTGTAAACGTCAAAAAGATCCTTCAAAGCAACGTGCTGCACCATGTGCAGCCCCGGTGTAACTGTTAACGTTGTTTCAAAAGTGAGTAGACTACTTCATTCTGCACTCAATACAAAGTACTAATACTTCTTCCCCCATATCAGGAACTCTAACCTACGAAATCTGGGAGCAAGCCAAAGTCTCTTCTGTACAATTTTCCGCTTTCAATTTCTCAGACTAGAGAAGACTAATCAGGCTCAAATCCCTTTTGTGAAAGTTAAGAGGATCAGGCTATCGAATATACTTGTTATTGCCGCCTTCCCTCGCGATAGTAGCGTAGATTTACAAAGGAAGGAAGGTTGGTCGAAGTGGCCTCTTGAAATAAGATGTTTACAGCCTTGTAGAGCTTGGAACGTTGATTCCAGATCTACCTTTGCTAGCTGCTGCGGGCTTCTGGGCGAAGAGTTATGGGGGTTTTTGTGAGTAAGAATCTGAATGCAAAAATAGAGTAAAATCAGCCTTAACCTTTTCCCAATGTTCAAATGAGGCGGCAGTGAATTAATACATTTGAATCAAGAATATCTGTTGCACCGAGTGACCCGGCTACCTATTAAGCCCTATAAAAAATGTTACGACTGATTTTAGCCTACTCTTGCATTAGATTTTTACTCACAAAAACCTTCATAACTCCTCGCCCAGAAGCCCGCAGCAGATAGCGAAGGTAGATTTGAAATCAGCGTTCCAAGCTCTATAAAACAGTCCACACCTCATTTCAAAAGGCCACTTCGACCAACCTTCCTTTCCTTGTTAGCATATTACCGCAACCCAATATTTTCGAGTGTTTTCCATTTGCTTAGCTAAGGAAAAACGACTATATCTTTCCTTAGGAGGAACAATTTTGAGTGAAATCCCTGCTATGGGGAGAAGAAGGTTTAGCAGTAACAACCGTATAAAAACGACAAAGATTCAAATGCTTTGAAGGTAAGTTGTGGCACAACCCCTAGAAAGCTGTGGCAGCCACAGCTTTTTAGGGGTAGTGCCACATCCCATTAACTTACCTCCAAAAAAATTTTAGATAACAATTTACATATGGTCTGATAGCCTGAGTCTAGTATTTTTCACAGGTAATTTGGGTCTGATTCATCATCTTCGCTCTGAGTAGAAGCTGATGAAAGCGCAGCCATTGAAAGCGAAAAATGAGACGAACGCGATCTTGGCCTGCTTCTAAATCTCTGCTTTGACGGTTATTTGAAGCAGGTTCCATGTTATGGGAAAATAGGGAGTAGTGCTTTGTACTGACAAGGGAATGGTCAGAAGTCGAAGTGGCCAAACCAAACAAGCTGTATATCATTCGATGCAGTATAAAACGCTGACTTCGAATCTGTCTTCCTTATCTGCTCCCCGCTTCTGTGGACGAAGCTACAAGCGGTTTTATTGTGAAAAAATCATACATAAAAACAGCGAAATTGAGCACATTGTTGCACTTTTAGCCCGGCTTCTGGCTTCAAAAATTTTAAGTAAGCTAGCTGCATGTTTTGGTCCAGCATTGAGGTGAACGAGGCTCTGTACGGCTAAATTTTCAATTTCACGCATAATTTCTAAGCAAAATAATGGTCTTCAATGGCTTATAACTTCGTCCAGAAGAGCGATAAGCAGATAAAGAAGATAGATTTAGAGTCAGCGCTTCATGCTGCATCTAACGCTACGCAGCTTGTTTGGAATGGCCACTTCGATTTCTGCCCATTCCCTTGTGAGTACAAAAAGAGTTAGCTAATTCACTTTTGAAATACAGTTGATCATATGTGGAAATGACCACTTCACTTGGGTGGTGCACTATTGAGCCCTCAGAATTTGCTAAAACTTGTTCCATTGGGGTTTTTTGATATGATAATTACGAACATGTGCCTAATTATGCAAGGTAGAGCCTTTATATTATGCCCAAGGAAAACAAACGATAAATCTGGTGGGGGGGGGGGGGGAGGGGGGTATTGAGACAGAAGGTAGTGGAGGGGGGGGGGTCGTATCCGACGCTTGTGTGCCACACCTCTTGCTCGACTCTGTCATGAATCATATTCGCTATTCCGGAGCGATTTTCTCGCTTCCGAAGCGACATTTTGCTCCTCGATTTGGGCATTGGCTTGATTGGGGGCCCTACTATCATGTGCGTAGTAGTATAGTATAGTTAGAACCGAATATTCGCGTTGAATGATTTATCGAAATATTCGACTATTCGAATATTTGAATAGTCGAATATTCGAGAAAGTCCAATTATTCGATTATTCGAATAGTCGAATAAAAAAAGTTCTGTATTCGAATAATTCGTTCATTCGACGATTTAAAAAAATGAGTGAATCGAATATTTGTTCATTTGAGGAGTTTAACACATTCACGACAATACGACCCACCGGTGGGTCGTACGTGTTCTGCCATTTCGGACAATACGACCCACCGGTGGGGTATGCTTTTTGAAGTTTTTGGTTTTGTTAGTTCACGGTGAAACTTTTTAGGCGAAGCGAGCCGAGTAAACTTGTGCATACATTTCTTCGAGTACTTCCTAAAAGATTGACACTTCAGACTACAGGGTCCATCAGTGACCTGAAAATTACGCAAACTCAGTTTTGCTGCTCTGGTCCGAAATGGCAGTCATCGAAAAATCGGCCCTGTCGTGAATGCAGTTATTCGAATATTCGAGCCAACAAAGACAGCTCTTCGAATATTCGGATATTGAATATCTTTTATTCGAACATTCGATGTCGAAAGAAAACTTTAGCTGTTCTACATTGAGTGCAAGTATGTCCCTGATCGGCTAGCAAGGTCCCCTTTTGAGGCAATCGCGAGTAATGCCAGAAAATAGTGATGACAAGTCTTATGCATACGCAATCACCTCCAAGCTCAAATTTGGGTGAAGAAGCAAAGCCGTCATTAGGCTGCGTTCAGACTGATTTCAAAATCCGGCAACAGTTCCAGCACAGCGCTTGAAATGAGCGCTGTGTTGAAACTGTTCCCGGATTTCGAAATCAGTCTGAACGCAGCCTTAGGCGCCACTTTAGCGGACTACTATTCCTCAAACAGCTTGCATAAGCATGTGAGAGACCAGCAGTCTATTGAGGCAGCACGAATGGGC